TATATAGGGATAATGGAAAAGAAAATGGAAACTATTCTAATATTGGGGTTATATTGGGGCTATATAGGGATAATGGAAAAGAAAATGGAAACTACTATAATATTGGGGTTATATTGGGGCTGTATTGGGATCATGGAAAATAAGATGGAAACCGCTGTAATATTGGGATTATAATGCTAGGTTATATAGGGGTTGTAGTGGAGAATCAAATGGAACATTAAATGGACACGGGAGTAACATAGGGATTGGGGGAAAGGGTCGCTCATCATGGCACGAGTGGAGGATCCGAAAGAGCGGCGGCGCCAGCTCCTCAACATGTCTCGGGGGTTATTCCAGACTTCAAGAACCACGAGGGGAGTTTGACGTTTGCCGCCAGTTTGGTTCAGTCAAGGCAATGCAGAGGAAGATCGGAAATCTGCAGCCAAAAGGAAAGAGGAGGAATCTGCCCGCTTGCAGGGCTCTTTCATTCAAAGCGTGTGGCTGCTGCCGTCTTCAGGATGCTGCAAGGAAAAAAGAGCTGGAACAGAAGCAGAAAGAAGATGCGCTCCTCTCAGACCCTCAGCCTCTTGGGTCTTAGCTGAACCGGTGGGGTACCACAGGCGGCCAAGCAAAAGAAGGACTTGGAGGAGAAGAGAAGGCAGGAGCAAAGGTCAACCCTGGCCATAAGAAGGCCGCGCACTGCATTGTACGGGCAAGTGTGATCTAGACAGTAGGAAACGAAGGCCTGCTGCAATGACAAGCCGTAGCGACTGTGCCTGGCCAGGGTCATCCAAAAGGTCAGACTAGCATCGCCTGAGACCTTCGAAGAGGTTCAAAAAGAGCTTCAGGCATGGCCATTCCAAACATTGCATAGCGCAGGACATGTGAGAAGTTGTCTGTCGCCATGTGCGCAGGAGATCCTCAGGGTCGAGCTGGAGAACACTGGCAGCCAGAAGGAAAGGATAAAGGAGGCAAGCTGTTGCGGCTTGTGCCACTCGTGCTCTGCTTTGGCTGGAGTGATGTCTTCAGGAGAGTGAGAAAGGCTTGGAGCAAGCGAGGAAAAGACTCGATAGCATCAAGGAGCAACGGCAAAAAGAGCTGGCTGGGGCCTGAGCCAACAGCAGCCATGTTGTCTTGCACAGCAAGCTTCGAAAAGCAAACTGTAAGCTGAAGGACAAGAAAACGGCAGAGGAAAAGAAACGATTAGAGCAGCAAGCCAAGACGGACGAGCTCCTGCAGGACTTTGACTCCATGTTGGGTGGCTTCACATGAGCTATAGTCTAAACTCCTTAAAGGGGTGTTATATAGGGGATTATATAGGGGACTACTCTAGGGGGTATTGAGGGGGATACTAGGAGTTTAGACTAGAGCTCACATGAGTACCGAAAGTGCTGGGCATCCAGGAGCTCAACGGATTGGTGGAAGCGGCTGAAGCAGGGGTTAGTCGACTGAAGGACGGTCTCATCGGGCACTGGCCAGCATGGGTTTGCAGTTTGCCGGGCTAGCAGGAGTTGGCCGAGCCACTGTCGGACAAGATCAAAGACAGCGTCAGCCCGGCACGGTTTGTATGCCTCGGGCCTCGGGCCACTTTACCTGCTTTTGGAGCACGCCGAAGATCTCCATGAAGACTGCGCGCCTTCACATGCACACGTTTTGCACGAAACTATGCCGAGCTGGACTTTGTCAGGTGAAAGAGGTCGAGGCATGTGCACTGGCCGTAGAAGAGGCAGCCGCGAAGGGGAGCCTATCCGCTGAAATTCCGGCAGTTCCAAAGCAACTGTTCCAATGTGTTTGGTGTGGTTTCTAAGATCTTGCACTCCAGTTACGCCAGTGGCCAAATGCTCACACTGCATGAGAGATTGTCTACACGCTTGAATTTGCGGTTTGAAGAAGTTTAAAGGTGTCTTTTGAAAGTTGCCTACGGCTCCGCTGATTCTTTGCGAGGCTGGCAGCGATGCCAAGACGGCCACCAAGGCAGCTCGCAAAATCTTGTTGAGGAACATGGCTTCTTAGACAGGATCTGCGTTGTACATGGAATGAAAGAAAATGGAGACTGCTTCAATGCAGAATCAAATGGGACATCACATGGAAACTGGAATAAGCACCAGGTAGGAGTGTGCCCAGGCGTGTACGGATTTTGTTCTTGTTCACGGCAACGACATCAAGGACAAACATGTCGTGCTTCCATGCCATACACAGTCCTGTATCAGCCGTGGATGGAAGGAGTCAACTCCATCGCCGGTCATACCCGGCATTCAGGCCGTTGGCGAGACCAAGCAGGTGGAGCTGGGTGATGTTAGGGGTGCGCACCATTTGAAAAGTGAATGGTGAGCGTGAGCAATAGGATGAATGTCCCATAAGCATAACATCAGACGTTTTGCGATGCAGGGCTTATATGTTCTATCTTCCCCGGATGCATCGTCGAATCGTGTCTCCCCCCAAAATGCTATCTCATCTGACATGATCATAGGCTCAATCAAGTGACTGCGCATGTTGATTTGGGAGCAGCTTCGATAGACACTGTAGCCAGCTGCATGAACACCACAGGGCTTGGGAAAGCTTCTGCAGCGCATCAACGAGCGCTGGACACAGCTTTGCAAGATCCAGTGCCTGCATGATAGACTCTGCATCTTTTGTGCAGCAGTGGGTTGTAAGGTGCGGAAGAACTGCAGAATCTCTGATCCAAGCCGCGCGAGGCCGTCTGAACTGTAGACAACCACATGCGACTGGAGACACTGCGCTGAGCAACGCTGACAGGCGCCAAGGAGCAGGCTGTCAGGCGAGCGTTTGCCAGGCAGAAGACCAAGGAGATGGAGGCATAGCTCCCAGCACAGCGTCTGTGCGCCTGATTTGCTATTTGGGCCTGGAGGCCATGTTCGCAAAGTACGACAAGGACAAGGACAACGTGCTGAGTCAAGCTGAGGCTTTTGCTTGCAGCGCAGTCTGCGAGCGCATGTTGCGAGAAACATCTTTTGACAGGTATCTGCTTATGCCAAGAAGGAGATATCCATCAACATGGACAAGGTCTGATCAACATCGCAAGCACACAGCACTCTAAGATACAAGCTATAGTCTAAACTCCTTAAAGGGGCATATATAATAGACAGGATTATATAGGGGACTACTGTGAGGCTTATTCAGGGGGATACTGGGAGATACTGGGAGTTTAGACTGTGGCTCATATTCCAAGCTCACTGCACTCAACATCGAGGCTTTGCTCGAAAAAGTTTGGAAATGCACGGTGGATGCAGATGAGAAAGGCGTCAGCTTCGACAAGCCATTCCCCCAGAATATATATATATATGGGGTTCTATACGGGTTCTACAGGGGTTATGTGGGGTTATAGGGGTTATATGGTGGTCATATAGGGGTTGTATAGGGCTTATATGGGGTTACATAGGGGTCATATAGGGTTATCTAGGGGTATTAAAAAGAAAATGGAAATTACTGTTGCGGATTTGGGGTTGTGGCCTCGCGGTGGACACTTGAATAGTAAGTAGTATACTATGGTATACGGCCATATACCATAGTATATTATCATATACCATAATATACCATAATCTACTATGATATACCAGTCCCGTGCACCAAGGATGTACTTGCTGAATGCATCCATCGGCATTGCACGGGAAATGCAAAGGAATGAGCCGCTCGATTATGCATTGGAACTCTTCACAGTCAGAGTGCGTTGAGCATCACCAGCTGTGGACGTGACTGTTGCCAGCTCAGGCGTCGCAAAGCTGCCCGGATTGCGAAGGCGGCATCATGCCTTCTCTATATGTGCATGTTCCATATTGGGCATCATTTCGCATGTTGTCGCTGTTGCAACGCTGTTCTGTCCAAAAACAGCAGTCTGCTCAGGTTAGCGTGAAACTGATGTTTTACTTGATTGCGGCAAGACCAAGAAACCTTCAGTCAGGCTAGTTACACCTAAACTTGCTTGGGGGCTGAAATACCTGCGCTGATATGAGCAGGGCATGCTGATGCCATCAGGGCATGCCTGTTATGCTTCAGAGGCAATGCCCCAACCCATGAATTGATGAAGCTCTTCGCTGGTTCAGGAAGGGTCCGTAAGCAAAAAAGCAGCATTTTCACAGCATTCACACCTTGCTCCTCCAGCCGCACCGCAGAGCTTCAAAGGGCTTAAGGGCTGGAAAATTCGCCCGAACCGTACAACGCAATGATTCTGACAACAAGAGGATTTGCTACACATGGCACTGCAAGACATGTCCAGAGTTTTTGCCGAATACCTCGACTTTTCCTGTCATCCAGGAGCGGGTGCTTGCAGGGCTCCGGGAGAAAGTGAGGGCAAAGGTCCGCGAGGCACAAGAGCTGGGACATCTTTGATTCCATCATGTTTCCATTGCCTGTCAAAGAAGAGTGAGATGGCTGGAATTTGAATGCTACTCGCAACATTTATGCATCGGCTAGATTCTGATCCTCGTGCTACAGTAGCCTGTTCCACTCCGATGTCGAACCCATCCTTTTGTCGAGGCAGATCGCTTTGCCCTCGAGTTCGACAAGGCTTCGAGCAGCGTAAACTCGACAGTAGGTACATTTCTGACAGCGCTGTCCGCTGTCGGTCCTGGCATGACAGGAACTTCGTGCCATGGAGAAAGAGGTAGCTCCTTTATTTGGCAAGGCTGGCGGTAATAGTTCTGTGTGAGGTTGTGGCTGCGAGTCGCAACGATGTGTGTCCAGGCCAGAACGGCTCCTGTTGCCGTAATGGAGGAAGAAGCTGACCGTTGCGATAACCTGGTGAAGGCCAGACATGCATACACACTGGTGCTAAACAGAATTGAGGCTTGGTGTGTGTCGTTTTAGCAACCTCTATGGCAGGCTTGCAGAGATACAGAAGAAAGGATGCGGCAACGAGTGAAAGCAATTCCACTCGGCTTCGATAAGCGGCTTATCTGCAACAACTGCTTTGCAAGGTTGCGGCTCAAGCTGTGGGGCGACAGGCGTACATATAATGCTGGACTCACATGATTCAAATCCTGAAAAGTCGTAGGTTTTGTAGGCTTAGACAGAAGGAATCAAGCGCCATGCAAAACCTTCAGGAAGTACGAGGAGGACCTCAGGGAATTTGTGAAAGTCGAGGTGCAACCAGCGTTTGCCGCGAGCAGCTACATAAATGCGTGTATACAGAACATGTACAGTTATGTGTATTTACAAAGATACATATGGTAGTTTCCCAAATAGGGGGACCCCAATATAGACCCCCATATTGCCCATATAGTATAATTTTCATAACGGGGACCCCAAAACGGGACCCCTGATGTTGGGAGAAAGAATGTGCAGGAGACTTTACACATGTCCGTGAGATTCCCTGGGTTGCTGTTAAGGCACTTAGACTAAGTTATTATAGCTTGAGTATATAGCGAACTAGTGTTTCCTTATTGTACGTCGTAGATTTGCTCGAAGTTCCTTTACCATAAGTTGGGTACATCGTATAACTGGGTCTACTTATTACAGTCATTTAAATGAAATTCCTCAACAGCAACAAAGTTCCCGTTGGCCAGGCAAAGCCCTTGGAGTCTAAAATGGGCCGAGCAGATCTGCGGCTCGTGCGAGCTGCAAACCTCGCCCGGAGATATCGCGAGCAGGCTCTTGGCTGGGTTTCTTACAGTTACTTGGGGGTTTGGGAGCGGATTTTTGGTTTCGAAATTTTAAGATGAAGGAAATTTGGGAAGCCTAAGTAATGGTAAGTTTATATGGGCTTGAGGGTTTAGGGTTTAGGGCATTGCTACCTACTATGATGCATGAGCTAATGTAGGATTTAGGGTTTAGGGTTTAGGGTCTAGGGTGAAAGCTCTTTAAAAGGGGTGGGGGGTTACAGGGAATTATCAAAGGGACAGTTGTAGGGGCTGCTAAGGGGGATATTTTGAGTTTAGACTTAGACTAGGGAATTAATGCATAGAGAATCAATTTGAAAATCAAGTGGACACTAGGGTCTTATAGGGATTCAAACGGAATGCCCGTGGAACGTTTGGAAGTGCCTCCCAGCAGAAGGCCTGGCGCAGAAGAGCGCAGGAGATCGAGCACATCCGTAGCTTTGCCATGAAGGCGGGGGGGCATCCATGTGACCTACTGGGGGGGTTAGTAGGGAATCAAGGACATGATACAGGGATTAACCTCTTAGTCCTGACTGAAGCCCAGTTAGCCTGTGACATTGGAAGTCAACTCAGATGCAAAGCCAGTTTGCAAAAGGTGGCTCGCCAGTTTGCTCGACTCAACAAGCTCACCTACGAGGAAGCTACCTGCAGTGAACATTTGTAGACATCACTATGTAGCTGTGTTATGGACGGCGCTTTCCAGACAATTGCGACACTCTTGGAGGAGTTGTTTGGCCATGTGGATTCTGATGGAGATGGAGCTCTAGATGAGGAGGATGACTTGTGCTGTCGTGGCAGTGACATGGTCCCAAGCGTGATGGGCGCGTTGCTTTTTCATTTTTTGAGTTGTTCTGTCCATACCTTATCCCCTATGTTGTGCAGCCATTTCAGACACCTCTGTTCGTATCAGCGCCAACGTCGTTGACACTTCTTGTTGCGAGTGCATCCCTCATGTAAGCGACCACGAGGACAATTAGCAGACAGCACTTGAAGTAACCACCATCACATCTCAATATCCTACTGAGCCTGGTCCTTTTTGTTGAAGAGTGGCCTTGTCTTGCTACATTGTTTCTGATGCTACTTGCTAGTAAGAAGAGCAAACAAGTCAGGATAAGTTGTAGCAATTTTAACATGTTTTGTGCCATCCAGAAGGGTGAAGAAGGGGGAGAAGGAGTTACAGGGCAAGGTCGGGCTCCAGTCAGAGCCGTCTCTGCCAGATAAGACCAGTGACTAATAACTTTGGGGACGGAAGCAGAGATTCCGTAACCTCTTCTGGCTTTGTATCCAAGAGGGCTGAAATGCACAGAATGAGCATAAGGAGCCCTCACTATGCAACGACTCAGTCAATTCGGAAAGGCCGAATTCAGACAAAGCGTCGAACGGTCGTCGAACTCTATCCGGATGAGATTTTGGCACAGGGGTATGCCTTCCTGTAGCAGTAGCATTGGAATCGCAAGATACATCATGGCCAGGAGTTCATCTCTTTCTTCTCGGCGATAGACAAGGCATTGACGGGCTTGTCGAAAGCGAGGATATGTAAAGAAGTATATCGTATGTGACTTTCACGTTGACTTGCACTGAGTCATGGTCATGGCCCTTCCAGTAGGGTCTGACGGACTGGGACCATTCCTAATTCCGGGTTGCGCTGCTTCTTACAGCCTGCCAGTGCAGGATGTCAAGGAAGAGGAGTTTGAGCCTGAAGATGTCGTAGAGGAGGAGACAGAGCCTGAAAAGCCTGTGCAGGCACCAGCACTGCAGATCCGGCACTAGGTCGAACATAAGCCCCCAACCTTCCCAAATATCCTACTTTAAGTCGTATAGATTTTGCCGTACCCTCAATGAGGCTCCTATACATGACTATTATAGGGTGGGGGCCAATCTCTAGGCTTGCTTGCGCTACCTGAACTGAGAAGGTGAATGCCTTGGAAGAAGCAGATGGCGATGGAATGGACCAAGGAAACCTGGAGAATCCTGTCACTTCAAGTCCCTCGCTGGACCAGGAGCCCCAGCATTCCGTGGCAAATCTCTTCAGAGCTGTCTGATGAAAAATCATGTGGGGTTCCAGCAGTTAGGGGTCCCTTCTTGCGCCCTGTTAAAAGGACTAGAGCAGAAAAGATCGCATAATATGTCAAAGTCCCAATTTATGGACACCCCCCAATTGAGCCATAGTCTAAAAACTCCTTGAAGGGGGTTATATAGGGGACTGCTATAGGGCCCCTTAAGGGTGATACTAGGAGTTTAGACTATAGCTCACATAACGGGATATAAGGGATATTGGGGGATATAGACAGATAAAAAGGGGTTAGGGGACTACTTCATTCAGAATCAAATGGAAACTGGGTCCTCGTAAGAAGGAGTATAATATTTGGGCCTTATACTGCACCCTAGACCCTAAAGAAAAAAAACAACGCTCACACTCTGCAGGAGGCTGCCAGCAGGCTGCAGGCGATTGCAGCCATCATGCTGCAAGCTACTCCCAAGCCGAAGCCGAAACCGAAGCCCGTCGCAGTCCACTCGGATTTTGGTATGGCTTACTTGGAGGGTCGGAGCGACTTAATAAGTGGGTTAATAAGGGGGGATAACTGGGGTTACTATATGGGTTATAGGGATTATTAACCTACTTCCTAAGTCCCCTGACCCTCCCAGAAGAATTAGAGTTTAGGGAGAAGTGCCGCAGTCTAATCACGAGCATGCTTCTGAGGTAAAGGCAGACTTGACCACCGAAGAGCTGAAAAGGCGATGTGTTTAGTCTGTGCAGACATTATGCTCAAACTGAGCTCTTGGCGCAGTCTCTTCAGAAGCCTTCTAGAACCTCACGAAGTGAAGATCTCTCAAGAGGCGCAGCGTCCGATGGGGGAACAAGTTCATGGTGCAACGCAGTAGCATTGAACTCTGCCAACGAATGTTTTACAGAGAAGAAACCCCGAAGCTGCTGGGCCCTGCACTGCACACAGGTCTTTCTTCGCATAGTCAAGGTTTATTACAAGGTGGTCAAGGACCTCTCCATCTGCTGGCCTCAGTTGATGTGTTGGTGATGTGACCTTGTTGGCGGTGTGCCGGAAAGCATAGCAGGAGACGCCAATGACGGAGAAGTTGGAGGTCAATGGCAGCCAGACGGTCCACCAGCTCAAGGTTGGTGAGGCGGGGAAAGCGTGCCGAGGTTCACGTCAACCCCACTGAAAAGCACCTCGAAAGTAGCGAGGCTCAAGTGAACCAGTCCTTGGAAATCATACGCGCCATCCCCAATAGTAATGTAAGCGGCCAATGGCGCAAACAATTCGCACAGGTAGTCCAAGTATGTGCAGGGCTCACTGCGGGAACATGCAACCCTTCGCCTGTGTGCCGGGTGCATGGCAGCCTCGCAATGGGATCTCCCACGCGGGTCATGCAGAAGCTGATCTGGAACTTCAAGACCCTTGGTGTGGCAACGACCCGGCTGAAAGTCGGATACATATCAACCGGGAAGCCCGCGGCGCTGCCCCAGGACTAGGTGACTAGGGCAAATCCCCACCACCCGCTGCTCCCATTTGTCACGGGAAGGGATTGAGGACTCTTGCTATGCCTGAGAGTTACCTACTATTTGGTATGGTTCCTCGGCCGTGCACATTCTGAGATGTATAAAATCTAGCTGTCAATGCCAAGCACTTGGTGTCCGCCCTACATTTGTGGTCCAGAGGTTTCCCCCAAGAGCCAACCTTGCATAGTAAGCGCTGTTTCCAAATTCAGCCGACAACTGGTGGTCAAACTCAAAGGACTGCTTCGTGGACCAACATTTCAGGGTTAGAGGCTGGCCAATGCAAGATATCTGAAGGACAATCCAACAGACCCTTTGTGGAGTGGCATGAGCAAGCTGAATGCAGCTGCCACGCATCCTGGCTTCTTCAGCAAGTATGATTTGTATTCAGCAGGCTCAAGGAAGGCGCCAGAACAGTGAGTGTGAGCTGCTTGGACCAGCCACAGAGCAAAACGCGATTCAGCATATGGAGGCTGTACAGTAGCGAGCGTAACGTGAGTCAGGAGATTTTTCTTGTGTTGCTCGATTGTTTATGATTTCTTTCACATGCCAAGTTCAAAGAACAACGCTTACTGTACTGTACGTGGCTGCAACGAGAATGTGATGAGTTCGTGACATGACGAGACTCGGGTTGCAGACTGATGACACGTGCCTTGATAAGCCCAACCTCCAAATCACAAAGATTTCGGAACGGCTTCGAATTGAATGATGTTGCTGTGAAAATGTATGAGCCTGTAGCTACGCGAACAGTTCTCACGACGCAAGCGGTTCAAGCCGAACTTGACAGCTACAGCATGGAAGGCATACGTAATCAGCTGCAAGCACCATGCTTGAGATTGTTTGAAAATACATGTGGCTCATGTTGTCTCCAGTTCGCGCGGTGTCTTATGAATAAGGCATGGCGACATTGCACGAGCAGATGGCCTGTTTCGTGAACTGCGGGAACGTGTGCCTACGCAGATGCGTCGGGTTCTGCACAACACTCGGTTGAAGGCAGCATTGTCACGAAAGTCCCTCTGAGCTGTCGTCTGAGTCCAGCATTGCTGATCTGTACTGGGGGGGTGTGAGGGAGGGGAAACTACTCAAGATGATTAGATTTGGCCGCGTTTTGCTGGCCAGCGGCAGGAGGGTTTCGAGAGGCCAGCCCGCGGGCCTCGAAAATAGGCATGATGAGGGGTCTGTTCTGATGCGGTTTTGGAGTGCTGTTTTGGGTGCCTTGGAGGCCGTCAGGAATAGGAATGCCAGATGGCAGTTTTTGTTTGGCACATTGGAAGCTGTTCTTGGGACACGGAGGCCGTTCGCGCTCCGCCGCTTCATGAAAAACTGCACGCGCCAGTATGCTAAGCTTTCGTCCCCCCCCTCGGGCGCAAGTTCTTCACATGACTCAAGAATCGTAAATTCTCAAGGGTGCCTGTCGTGACGTGACAGGCCTGTGCAAATGCGGGAAGTCCTGAGTTGGCTGAGAGGTTCTACGAGGAGATGTTGCAGGAGGGTATTGAGCCCAATGGGCGCACGTTGGGAAAGCTTCTGGAAGCAGCAACTAAACAAAGCAACCGACAAGCAGCGCAGCACTGGTTCTTTGCGCTGGCAAATGCTCATTCTGAAACGGAAGAGCTGCACATCCACATGCTTGTGGATGCTGTCGCCAAGGAAGGCGATTTCTTTGCAGCACAGGAATGGTACACTCGCTTTTCAGCCGACCATATGGACCTGCTGACGTCGCGCATTAGAGATGTGGTGCTTTGTGCTGCTGCACGAGTAGGAGACCTTGCGCAAGCGGAGACTCTTTTGCAGGACTTCTCCAAGTCGGGATTGCAACCAGATCAAGAAACCTTTGCTGCTGTTGCACTTGCGATCTTGGAGACCAGGGACACAGACAACCTTGCCACCATTGAGAAATGGCTTGCCCTTGCCGAAGAGGCTCTCTGCATTGAGGATGAGTTGGGTGCAATTGCACGCGTTGCAAAAGGCGCTGCCAGGATTGGCTGCTTGGACATTGCCCAAGTCTTGCTTGAGAAGGTCTTCCGGAAGGTCAAACCCGAGTGCCCAGCTCCCGTGGCCGCGGAGTCTGCCTGCTTCAACGTGATCAAAGCTCTTGGCGAGCAGGGTCGACTTGACGAAGCAGAGGCGTGGGTTGAACGAGGCCAAAGGACTGGGTCACCCGAGTGGCTTCGGCGATGCTGCCTAGAGCTGGTAAAATCGTTCGCTTCGCAGAAGCAGCTAGGGAGGGCTGAGAGGATGTTTCTGCTCGGCCAGAAAGCTGGGGTGACCGACTTACAAGCTTATTGCATCATGGTGAATGCTGCTGCCAAATGCTGCGATCTGGTTGTTGCAGAGCGCTGGTTTGAGGAAGCCTTGGATGCTGGCATCGAACCCGATATCGTCCTCTTTGCTTCCTTGGTGGACGCTGCATGCCGCAAGGGCGATATGAGAGCTGCAGAGTACTGGCACAGACGAGCAGAAGCTTTTGGCCTGACGGCCAGCAAAGAGATGTTGGGTTCCCTGGTGAACGGTGAAGTTCGTAAGGGCAACTTGCACGGGGCACAGCGGTGGGCTGCGATTGCGAAGCAGAAATATGGACCAAATCTGGTTATCCAAAACTGCCTGGTTGACGCCTTTGCAAAATGCAAGGACATGATCTCAGCTGAGAGAATTCTCGACGATGACTTGATTGGCGGCGGGCTGCAGCCTGATGAGAGAAGCTTCGGGCCGTTGATCAACGCTTACGCTGAGCAGGGTCGCTTCACCGATGCAATGAGATGTTTCCGGTCTATGTCTGTACATCAAGTGAGGCCTTCGGTCGTCCAGTACAACCAGCTGTTGAAGGCTTGCGCGCGGTCACGGCCTCGGTTGGTGCAGGAGGCTCTGCAAATCTTTGAGGAGCTGATGGAGGTTTGTGCTGAGCGCAACCAGGACAGCCCTCCCAGACACTCGGGTCCCTTCCGTGGTCCACCTCGGGATTTGCGCCCTACCCGGATCACGCTGAAGACGCTGGGCCGCTGTGTGGGTGCGCGGCGGCTGTCACAGATCTGCCAGGCGGGGCTGTCATGCAGTGCAAAATTTGAGTCTACCCTTTGGTATTTCTATGTGTATCGCCAAGGAGCATGGCATAGAGCAGCAGGAGCTGCTGGACACAAGATTCAGCGCTGAGGAGCAGAAGCGTGCATTTTCTGCTGCTGAGAAATGGGTAGTGGAAGGCGCCGGGACCAAGACATCTGCCGAGAGCAAAAGCTGGAGTGCAGAGATTTGCAGCTTCGTCTTCTGGAGCTTGTTTCACTTCAATCAGTCTGGAAGCCCCTGAAACCTGCGCCCTGTCTGCCAGATCTTGGAAATGCTCGAGGGCCCTGAGAGAGAGACTTCCTTGAAGGCAGCGGCAGTGCAAAACTGCTTCAGTCAAGGTGTTGAGCCTGGCAGAAGTGCTGCCAGGTCTTCCGTGCCAGGGGCAAGGCCGGTGGTCTTCGAATGCTGTGTTTTGTCTTCTTCAGCTTTTGCTCGCAGCTCTGCAGGTGCTGGGGGATGACGCTGATAAGGACATGCTGCTTGGGTGTAGGGGCAGGTCGTTCCTTCCCTGAGATGCTTGGATCACAGGGTCTTTGTCCCTCACTTCAAGCGAAAACCTACACGCCTTATGTCTTGAGAGAGGGTAGGCTATCAATTGCTCCTGCGTTGATTTCTGCATGCCTGTAGTTTTGCAGGAAGGCTGGGTCACCGTCGCCGGCAACCAGGGCACAATTTTCCTTCAGGAGGGCGGCCACCTGTGGAAGGCTGGCAAGCAGCAGTAGACATGGGAGTTTCTTAAAATTAGGGGTACCTACTATAATGGAGAATCAAATGGAAAAGAAAATGGAAAATGAAATGGAAACTGAGGTTACATAGGGGATTATAGGGATAAGGGTTTCCCATAACTAGGGGTACCTTTTTGGTGGTCCCTATACTAAGGATTATAATATTTTGGGGTCTATATTGGGGTCCCCCTATTTTGGGAAACTACCACATGAATACTATGGCCATGATACAAGGTGTGCATGCAGCGGCATTCATTTCCTTCATATCCACAGCAGTAAAACAACTGAAAAACAGCTGTTGGAATGATGCATTGTCTTGCTAGATTTTGGTAGGGAATATTATTCCCATGTCATCCCCACATACTAATATCCCTGATCCCTACTAACCCAAAACCTTTAGCCCTAAAGGAGCCTAAGCCCTAAACCCTGTACATTTCCTTATTCCCTACGAACCCTAAAGCCTAGACCATATATATGTATATATATATATATTCTCTTGCTCCCTACCAGCCCTAAACCCTTCATATTATTTTCCCTTACTAACCCTAAACCCTTCGTACTCCCTTATTCCCTACTAACCCTAAGCCCTTCATATTCTCTTATTCCCTGCTAACCCTAAACCCGTCATATTCTCATGCATATTCCCTCCTAACCCTAAACCTCAAACCCTTCCTTCTCTCTTGTTCCCTACTAGCCCTAAATCCTAAGCCCTTCATATTCCCTTATTCCCTGCTGACCCTACACCCTAAACACTTCATATTCTCTTATTCCCTTATTAAGCCGAAACCCTTCATATTCCCTTATTCCCTACTAAAGCCGAAACCCTTCATACTCCCTTATTCCCTTACTAAAGCCGAAACCCTTCATATTCCCTTATTCCCTACTAAAGCCGAAACCCTTCACATTCCCTCCTTACTAAAGCCGAAACCCTTCATATTCCCTTATTCCCTTACTAAAGCCGAAACCCTTCATATTCCCTTATTCCCTACTCAAGCCGAAACCCTTCATATTCCCTTATTCCCTACTAAAGCCGAAACCCTTCATATTCCCTTATTCGCTACTAAACCCGAAACCCTTCATATTCCCTTACTCTGTACTAAACCCGAACCCCTTCATATTCCCTTACTCCCTACTTAACCCGAAACCCTTCATATTCCCTTATTCCCTAATAACCCCCAGAAAGCTATTGCTTGCTGATTCTGGTGTTAGGTCCTCAGGCAGTGTGAGCTCTCCGAAACTTTCGAGGTCGGCCTGTACCACCACAGTCAGAGATCTGCGATTAAGGGTTATACGGGATTATATATGGGCGATATAGGGATTATGTAAGGATGATGGGAAAGAGTATGGAAACTACTACAGTATTTAGTGTTCAATGTTTAGGGTGCAGGGATGTTACCCCAAGAATGGAGAATCACACGGAAAAGAGAAGGGAATATGAAATGGACACTGTGGTTATACTGCAAAGTGAGAGATCTTGCGCGTACAGCAAGCCAGCGAGATCCAGCGAGCTTTCCCGACAGATGCAGGACACCCAGCCAAAGGCAGCTGTCCGCAAGCTCAAGGAGGGCGAGGCCGCGCCATGTGGGTTGTTGTCAAAATTATGGTCCCTTTTTGGGTCCCTATTATAATACGGCCCCTAATATTTAGGGTACCCAAAAAGGGACCATAATTTTGACAACCACCCATGTTTGGATTGTATGGTGGATTGAGCTAATCTAATAGTGGCTTGGTCTGCAATCTTGACATCATGGGCTGTTCGGGAACAGTGCAGGTGCTTGAGGTTCTGAGCTGGCCGAAGAAGCACGAGGAGCCGGTTTGCCCAGATCCAGGCTTCAACCAACTCTCCGTGCTTTTGGCGCTCAACTGCCAGACGCTTGCCATTTTCGCAGAAGACCACTGCGTTCTTCCGAGGTCTGGCCTGATGAGACTGCGAGTGAAGGCAAAGATGGATGGAGCGTCTGGGAAGCAAATTGATATTTAATGGCAAGCTTCTCTGTGTTAGCTTGAAGAGCAGACCTAGTGGTGTCCCGAGCTCAGGCCATAGGCTGGATGACCCAGATTGCGAAGGACTCTTGCCCACCCATGCATTCCAATACCTCCTTCACATATTGTTGAGAGGACGGCGCCGCCTTTGCCGATCCGATCTGACAGCTCTTTTTCTGCATCTGCAGTTTGCCCGCCGATGGGAGGCATCTTAATCTCAAATGAAACTCATATGGTGCATCGCAATTTTGCGTGGCAACCATGACAGGGTTGTCATGATGTACCAGCAAAGCTCTACTGCTACGCACAGCAGGGTCTTCAACAAATCTCATTTTGAAGAGGCATGCGTGCTGGCAATGACTCATGCCTTAATGATGTGCCTACGGACTTGAATGATGCTACTGTTGAAGCGTTGTGGCGAAGCGGCAAGTCCGTTTAGACGCGCTTCCCATTCGATGATCTGAAAATGCGCTTCAAGGCAGCGCGTCCCCGCGCGATTGCTGGAGCACGGGTTCTTCTGCTGTAAGGACGCCAATTTTACATCCCTCGCTTCTGTAAGAACCCGCATGCTCACAGCCACTGCCTTTTCCATGCCCTGATTTGCAGATAGAATCTGTAAATAGTTGGGGAAACAGCCTCCGCGGCAATCACGAAAATGGTAAAAGAGCATTAATGGCCCTGTCGCATGCTCACTTCTCCAAACGATACGATGGGGGCCACGGGGCGGTGAAGATGGGATCCGGCATGCTGCGACCAGGCAGGCGATCTATCATATGTACTCCGATTTACTAAGTGCATGCCGGCGTGGGCCACACCTATCACCTATTTGCTATTGGCTGCATTCAATGCTCCCGGCAGACCTGCAATCACATTGACTAGTAGCTGCCGTTACCTGCAGAGGCTCAACATAACCAAACCTCTCGTTTAGGCTGAGAGGCATTAGTGGTTGTGCCAGGCCAGTGCAGGAGAAAGACCGAGGGATGCGATGATGTTCTCTGACAGTCCTTCCATGATCTTCCATGTGCACTCCTCTGCACAGACCAGACATGGCCAGCACGATTCTGCCCACCAGTATCTATCTGACCTCGCCCGCCTTTTCGTGCTCAAGCCCGCAGGCTACCAGACTGATGTCCTGCCAAAACATTCAAACACTGGCCCAGATGCCATCCAACACTACCGCATTTTGTAGATGCCACGCAGCATATTATGAGAAGCTGCAAGTGTGCGAGCAACCGTTCTGCTTACGCCTGAAAGCTGGCGTGTTGGCTCTCATCTGCATGGCGCTGAGACGGCATAGTTTAGAAGCCTAAGCACCTACCTTGGTCATCATAGCTACAGGCTCTGGGGGCCGCAGAAAGTGCATGTTGATGATTGCTGGAAACAATCCGAGAAGATGCGTACTGCTGTTATGTACACTGCGCATGAACTCCAGGTCTCATGCACCCCGGCGATCAACAGGCGCTGCACCAGAATGGTTGTTGAGGGCGGAAAGTTTTTTTTTTTTTTAATGGAAGTTGAGTCGCAAACTGGTAGTTTGCTTAAATGGGGGGGACCCCACCCACAACTTCAGAATCCTTACTGTAGCGGCCCCAAAAAAGATCCTATAATTTTGGGAAACCCTAAGGCCCTAATCCGTTTCGACCGACGTGACTCTCCATGACGGGGAACCCCCAAATTCTGCGAATCCCCAGAGGATGCGCTGGTGGCACTGGCAGATTCCCAAGAAGGCTCAAAGCAGGGAAGATGAAAAGAGTTTAGGGTTTAAGGTTGGTTTTCCACTGAGATATTCCTGTGGATTAGCTTTAGGTCTCCAATTTTCACGGACAATCATCAGTACATATTCCTTGTACCGTAAAGATTGAATCGCCCCTACACGAATCCCAGGGTCGATTTCTTGAGACTGGTAGGCTCCTTGGGGCCGAACCCTTCAAGTGCATCGTGTGCACTGCAACAGGCCCGTTTCATGGAGCATGGATGCTTGATGTTATTGATGTTAACTGCATAGAGCCAGAACTGGCAGTTTCGAGCAGGAATTGGCGCTGTGCAAAAGCGTAAAACTATCTTCTCTCACAAACACACAGAATAAGCACGTCTCTAACGTGGTGGAGGCGGCTGATTCGCTGTTGAGAGCGATCAAGGAGGTGGCCTCAAGTGCGCGCACACTGCGCATGCTGAGTTCTGAAGAGCGCTCAAGCTGCGTGTCGACAAGCGAGCCTGTGCATGAGGCGCAGAATGTGCAGCAATCCTTGAGCTCAAGGGTGGTGCTCCTGGAAACTGAGCTGAAGGTGGACCTTCAAGCTTCCTTCCTTGATCTTGCTTCCAGTTCCATTCAGGCTGCTTGTGGTACAGTCGACGAGTTTTTCACGCTGAGCCGAAGCCGTGATGTCTTCAAATGAGCTTTGTTAAAGCTGCAAGCTTCAGAGTCTTTGCTCGTTCTAACCAAGACAGATTTTATCCCGACAGGCCTAACTTTGGCATTAAGGGCCTCATTTCTTTTTTTCATTGTGCAGCTGCAGCCATGGGCAACGCAGTCTCGTCTCAGGCTCTGCTGAAGACAGCAGTGCCTGCTTTGCACTTGGTTGTGTTGGGAGGGCTTGCTGCGGCCTGGCAGTTCTGGTTGAGTCATACTGGCTCCCACAATCAAAGTCCACGAAGCTTGAAAGATTCAGAGGCAAACACAGGAGTAGCACCAGACAACGAGCACAGATTGGGCCAAGCAAAGAATGACTTGGAAGATCTGGCTTCAAGTTTACATGTTCGGCCACCCCTGTTAGGCTTGGGCGAGGTTCTCAGGAAAATCAGAGGACAGCAGGTTGATTCTGAAGCAGAGACACTCGCCACAGAAGCTGCACTACTTCCAGGCAAGCAGCGTATTCACGTGAAAACCTTTGGCTGCCCGCACAATCAGTCCGATGGAGAGTACTTGGCAGGACAGTTGAAGGACTACGGCTACACCTTGGTAGAGACTCTTGAAGAGAGCGATGCCATCGTGATCAACTCTTGTACAGTGAAGCACCCTTCAGAGACAAGAGCTCTCAATCTGGTCTCGAATGCCCAGCAAGCTGGAAAGGGAGTTGTACTGGCTGGCTGCGTGCCCTCCAGTGACAAGAAGCTGGCGCAGACGCTTACGGGCGTGAGCATGTTGGATGTTACACAACTAGATCGAATCGTTGAGGTGGTCGAGGAAACTGTGAAGGGGAATACTGTGCAACTCTTGGAGAAGCGAGGAGACTTGCCTTCCCTGGCTCTGCCCAAGGTGCGTAAACATCGCTACGCAGAGATCATTACCATCAATGCAGGCTGTCTTGGCAATTGCACATATTGCAAGACCAAAATGTCGCGAGGTAAAGTTGTCTCATACTCAATCGATGCAATCGTTGCGCGGGCTCGGGAGGCTGCTAGCCAGGGCGTTTGTCAGATTGAGTTGGCCTCAGAGGACATGGGTGCCTACGGCCTGGACATCGGGACGAACATTGCCGAGCTTCTACTTCGCTTGTCTGACGCTTTGCCTCCACATGTCATGCTTCGCACGGGTATGACTAACCCGCCTTACATAATGCAACATATAGACAGGATCATCGAGGTGCTTAACCGGCCCAATGTGCACGCTTTCATGCACATACCAGTACAGTCCGGCTCTGACCAGGTCCTGAGGGCCATGAGACGCGAATACACAGTTGGTGAGTTCTCCTACCTTGCAGATCGTCTTAAAGCCGGGGTTCCCGAGCTGTTCCTCTTAACTGATATCATATGCGGATTCCCAACTGAGAGCGAGGAGGATTGGAAGGAGACCATGGACCTTTGCCGAAAGTATCAGTTTCAAGGTATCCACATTTCGCAGTTCTACGCTCGACCTGGAACAGCAGCTGCCAGGCTGAAGCCACTGAAGAGCCACGTGGGTAAGGATCGATACAGAGAGCTGGCAGACTTAGTGACTTCCACAAACCGAAATGAGGCTTTGATGAGCCGAGAGGAGCGGGTGTGGTTTGCAGACACTGAGGAAGAGCGATCCAAGGCTGAGCAAGGGCAGACCGTAGGTCGAACTAAGTCCTTTGCCAAGGTCCTCGTACCTCGTGATGATGCGTTGCTGGGTCGTAGCGCTCTGGTCCGAATCACTTCTACATGCCGACTGCATGTGGAGGGCGAAGTTTTGGGCGATGTTAGATGAAAAAGCCAAAGCCTGCAGCATTCTGCTAGCTGGAACCAGAGTTAGTTATTTTTGTCCAGCTTTGCTATGATGTTCCCTTCTCACCTACCTCTGCTTGTGTTTTGCAGAGGCTGCGCAGGAGCAACGCTGCGCGCAGAAGAGGCCAGCACATCGGGCATGCGGACTTTTGCTCGTAGTTTCTTCCACCACGACATGCGTGCGACAAGGGAGTTGGACAAAGTGGTCCATGAGAACGAGCAGCTCAAAGCACTATCCTCAGCATGAAGTAGCCGCAAGCTGTGCCAATGTTGCCATCTTCAGTCCCCAGTCGGGAAAAGGTAGTTCTTTTTTAGTGGTTCTGTGAAGTTGCTATTGTTCTCTTTGGGCAAAGATCTAACCCAGGAAGCCTTCTCTGATAAGCAGCTGTTACCAAAGCCCCACGCCACAGAGTAGTCTCCACCTCCCCCGCAATTTGGGACGATCCACTGCTTTTAGTTGCAGTGAATACGATGACAGGGATAGGGATGGCCTGCACTTGTTGTGAGGCGAAGCTGAACCAGATGGCACCACTTGTTAGCCAGATCGATGTCTACAAGGCCCTTTTTTGAAGTTGGGCAATGCGGCGCTGAATCTTGAAATGCAGCCGCCATTTTGCAGGCCAAGATAAGGAACTACGCCGCCAAGTTTGATGAGCTCGAAAACTCCGGGCTCAAGCTGGGCGGAGACGGTGCGAGGGCAGTATTGTACGATCAATACCGTCCTTCGATTCATTATCGTGCCTTTCATGTCAAGTTTTCTGGGAGTTTGCGCCAAAGCACATTGCTGTAGACATCCAAGGTACATCTAGCAAGCAACTATTTAGAGTTATTGGCAAAGCCTTGGAATGCAAATAAATACTACATGCAATCCACCGAAGCACTGAAGCACGAGGAAGCACGTGCTGGGAAGCTCACTCCGTTCTGTGTGGAGCCTCTACTTCATCGGTAGCTTTCACTGCTACTCTCAGATTTCATATCGGGCCCGTGTATGCCAGCATCTACATGGCGAAGTTCACGACGAGCTTGAGTCCTCGTCCTCGTGTTTTCTTGCCAACTCAGCGGGCCCATTTGAGACATGCTTCCTTCGCGTTGAGCTGGAATCAAATCTGATTGGGGAACGGCACTTTCCAACGTAATGCGTAACGATTACGCGTGCAGATGCGTCGTGACTGTAGTGACTGTAGTGCTTCCAAACTCAGCGTCTGCAGCGAATCATGTGTAATCTCACCGAATAAAGGGAGTTAGGCCAGGCCCAGGACTCGTATGATAGACTCTGCCTTGACATTGACGCAAGTATCCATGACATCACTGTGACAAAGAAACAATGTAGCTCCAATGGCCAGGTATTTTACATTGTAGGCCCAGGTGCAGGCCTTTCAGTCCCGACGTTTGCCCAGCAAAGTGCCCTGGAAGGTGGCAAGCGTCGCCGACTGGTTCGCTGCCAGCGGCCACCAGAGGCCGTAGTTGCGATAGTTATTGCGGAAATGTGTTTTGCATATTCATATCTTTATTGCTGTTAGGATGCGTCAGCTTGCGTCAGCTTGCTACTTTGGGAGAGAAGTGCTTTGGGAGGCCTTGCAGAATGTGCCCTCTCCAAGTCGTGCAGGCATATTGTTCCCGGGCATTCTGCTCGTAACCTATGTACGGGTTTACAGGAGGATGATATGGAAGGATATGAAGTGATCAGGTTGAGTTTAGGGGATTATTGCTAATAGTGGGGAATTGAATGGAAAGGACACTGGAAACTTGAATGGACACTGGAGCTTAGGTAGGCCCAAGCATGCTTTGTCAGCCAGGCGAGCCTGCCGATCGAGATGAGACTGCGGAAGGAGAACATATTGGAGTGGCCGACGGATCAAAGCAGGACCTTGTCTTTGATGCCGATTGATTTCTATTTGCATATTTTGCATCTCTGCCATGTATCTTGTCAGGAGGCCTTGCCTATTGGCCCACAACTACATTCTCCCAAAGAACAATGCAGAAAGGATGAGAAAAGCTCCAAGCGCATCCCTATGGACCTTGCCGAGGGGAAGCTGAAGCCGCCTGAAGAACAGGGCGAAGCTCGCGAAGCGCATCTACCAAAGGAGCTGACGGAATTGAGGCAGATAGCTGGCCTACGGATCTGGGAGCCTCTGAAGCCGTTGCCGGTGCCTCCACCAGCCGAGCCGACAAGCGCAATTGGCACAATTGTTGCCTGGAAGCCTCCCAACGCAGATCCTGGACATCCGCAGCCGGTTGCTTCAACTATGCCTCGCTTCAACTCGCGGTCCAACTTTGAAGCACAGCCACAGATCCGCGCAGAGGCCTTGAATGCTGCATCCCCCGCCCAGGCGGCTCGCGGCCAGCCGTGCAGGTGTGTGGTTCGTGGGAAGGAGCAGCGCCTGGCTCTTCCGGGACATGACTGCGAAATGTGCCGCGGCTTCTACGCAGCCGCCGGCTTGAGTGGTGCCTGTGGAGCAGCCTCCGGACCAAAGTCGTCCAGGCACCGCTCCGAACACGCGCCAACCAGCACTCCACCAGGCCCTGAATCGACTTGATGTGACTGGCGAAGTATGTTGCTACGCTGCTACATCAGCCTTGCCAGGCTTCTGGGACTTGTCCTTCCCTGTTCACGCCGAGTCCACACCACAGGCATGCTTAGATTGCAGCCAGTTACTGCCTGGATGTCACCTCCCATTACGTACAGCTTTCCTGCGAGGTCTAGGCCTTAGCTCTCTTCGGCAGGGCTCTCACTGAAGCTGGTGCCAAGAGTTTGAATAGAACGGATCCAGCGCTGGAAACGCCGTTGAACTTGTCATTTGCAATTCCTTTGCTTGAGTTTTGTGCTGGACAGATGTGGACACCCTGTGTGCTGCCCATCGACCTCAGTTTTTTAATGGCACGAGACAGTGCCAGGGGAAGCTGGAGCTTGATGCCCATCAGCTTGTTCTTATGTTAGCAATTAGCAACGGCGGGCGCACCTGCTGTGCTCACTGGGGTCTTCGTGCAAGGGGAAAGACGGCCGCGCTGTGAGAAAACTCAGAATGCTGGGTTAGCCTCAACAAATTGTTTTGCACTGAAGCACTGGTCGAGGATTTGTGCGGCACATTCATGCAATCTTTTGCATTGCAGGTGCAGGGTGTCGGGCCAGGTCGCGATGGCAGGACCACCCGACAGTTGCCAAGGGCTGCTCCGTGCGTCAACTCTTCAACAGAAAGGCTTCCAGTGACAGCATGAGCTGCCTGTAGTCCGTTTGTTGGTCAGGACCATTTTTAGCGCACACAAGAAGCGCCCGGTCCTTGCTGGTGTGCCGTCCTCAGAATCTCTCTCACATTCCCCGAGCAGCTTTCTTCACGCTCTTGACCATGTCGTCTTGAAGTCTTACTAGGGTAACACTGTAAACCCCAAATATAAGCCCAATATCCATATCATTTTCCATTTCTTCTCCATCTGACTTTCCATGCTATTGTTGTTTGCAGGTAGGCGTTGGTGGAAGACCGCCTGGCAGTGCCAGCATCCCAGCTTAGGGATTAGGGCTTGAGGCTGCATGCAGCACCTCAAAGTTGGAGGTGTCTGTCAAAGTTGCACACTGGTGTCCTGCTTTACGGTTGTCATGTGCAAGGTTGCATGTGAGCCCTGGACTAAATTTGCAGTATATCCTTGAATAGGTCCCCCCCAAAACGCTATATAGTCCCCTATAGGTCCCCAACAACCTATATTTAGTCCGTAGCTCATGTAGCTCCAAAAGGGTGCTTGGGATGTTCTTTTGTTGCACCTTTGGAGCTCTCCCGTTGCTGACCTGGATTTTTTGTTGCTTTTCTATCCCATGGTGCTTAGTTGCAGTCTTCTTCCCTACTATAGTACTATAGTAGTTTCCGTTTTATTTTCCCTTATCCTCTATAAAACCACCAATATACCCCTAATACGCCCCTAGTACTACCTCAATACAGCCCCAATATAAACCCCCGAACATTTGCATTGGACCTTGTTGCGTGAGCTCCTAGCTTCATGGGCTGCAGGTCTGGCGAGAGCACCCCGTGCCCGGCAAAGGCCTCGTGTAATTCCTTTTGCGGGTTGCCCTAAATAGGGGGACCCCAATGTAAACCCTCAAATATCATGTTCCTTATTGGGACCCCCAAAAGGTATCCCTAATTTGGGGAGACCTCCATTTGGAGCTTGCCTGCAGTGAATTGATTAGCTTTGGGCAGGCTTCTGACCCTGGCGGTCTTGAGATGTACCGGGCCCGCCCAGAGCTGGGCGTCAGCAATGTGCACGGACAGTTCAGAAGACATTCCCTGTTGACGTTGCCCCTATATACTATATAGTAGTTTCCATTTTCTTTTCCATTATCCTTATATAATCCCAATACATTCCCTATTTGCTGAAATTCTTTGTGAAATTTGGAATCTGTCTGCGCACTGGCTGAAATTGAATGGCCTTGGCCGTGGCAGAACCAGCCTCAAACATCCGACCATGCAGCTCAATGTCCATTCCACGCACGTTAACGGTCCACAGTGACCCTTGGCACAGATAAATTGTGGTCTCACCCTTGCAGCCGCAAGGCGGTTTTCATCAATGAGCTGATTTGACGAAGCTTGTTGTTTGACATGTGCAGCACCTAACTTGCGTTGGATTGTCGTGTCATCTCAGCTCACTTATTTCTTTATGACGCTACCACTACCCCTGTGATCTTCGTTGGTCCCAGCGCTGCGGTCAGGAGCGCTTCGTGACATGTTTTTTGCGCTTTGATGCTTGCTGCAGCGGTGCGCACTGGCATCGCCTGCTTCCGCCATACCTGCACAACCAACCACAGTCTATTACACCTGGCTATGCCTGTATCATGTTCAGTATCCCTGCTGCGTGGATTCTGCATAAACGTCATCCCACTAGACTGGGAGCTTCAGCAGGACTTTGCTCGTGTACCACAGACTGCATTAACGTCGAGGCCAGGACGTCAATCCAATCAGCTTTCACATGTGTTTTACCCTCCTACTTCTGCCATGTAGGACCCGAAGTTTTGCCATGTTTTCAGGTGCTCAGCTGTACTGCTCTCTACTTTGGTGGTGGCTGAACCTGAGCATGTGTCTGAAGGCTGGCTCAGAGCTAGTGATATTCTATGGCCGCTAGCATGCGCTTTCGACGGATATGCCGGGGGAACTCCTGGGATACTTTCCTTCCCCCTTTGTACAAGAAGGGCAAGGCCCTGTTGGCCAACCGTCATCGCAGCCTGCAGCCAGTCAAGGCCATAACGGTAGTTATATTGCCGTCCACGCGGCGCAGCGAAGCTGCTTGCCCGTGGACTTCATGCATACCAAGTGCTCACGATTAAGAGGCAAGACCAGGATTTGTGGAAGATTCTCTCAGAGCACAAGTGGTACAATTCAAAAGTGGCAGGCCAGTCAGGGACAACTCTTGGCTTAGACAGCCTGCATGTCCGGCAACAGTTGGAAGTTTGGTGAGCAACTGGCCACCTGTTGACGTCAATATGCCAGAGATACCAGGGATCATGCCTGATGACAGGACTAGACCAGACTATGTCAACTCCTTTTGATGTGCTTCTCTGTGCAATCCTTGTCTCACACTTAGGAGGCACAGTGCAGGCACCTTTCCTGTGCCGCTTTCGTGCCCATGCTTTTCATAGACTGCGCCCGACCGAGGGAGGATGGAGCAGCACAACAGGTCTGGGACGGGGGGCAGCTTTCTCTGATCTGACGGCTCCCTGACACCCCTCAGCAGCGAGCCTTGACGTTCAGCAGATTCAGCACATGCGGTGTGCAGGGAGAAGGAGGAGCAAAAGAGTAGGACGGACCCTGACGTCGTCGACCATAGTACTGGCTCCCAGGTAGACACTGGCATTTGATGCCCAGCAGCTTATATTGCAAATCCGCCAGAAGGGGTTGCAGACAATGACATGTCATTACGTGGGTATGCGGTCTTGCAGACATGGCTCTTCTTTCCAGAGAGCAGTTTGAGTGGGTAGCAGATGCAATGACACTCTTATTCAGAGTGCGTGCAAGTTGGTTCCAGCGCGCAGAAGCACAACATATCAACAACTTGCTATCTCCACAGCTTCAAGGGGTAACACCTCTAGACCCAGATGAAGCCCACGATATGGCTCGCAAGCCATGGGCAGCTGAGTGATTGGCCCGTCATCCGGACATCCATTCTGCCTTCACGCCATCAGGTCTCAAGCCTGTGTGTAGACAGAAACCCAGGACCGGAAGTCTTGTATTTCAACGCTCATAGACTAGGTAACTGTAGCCTCCAACCTGTTCCATCTCCAGAGCTCTATAGTCCCCCTGAAGTATATAGAATATGGGAAAAACACTGGATTTTGATTTCAAGGTTCACTTAAAATCAATTTTAAGTGTTGCTTCCGGCAATCTAGGATTCGGATATTTGGTCACTTTAAATCGATTCTAAGTGGTCCCCGGTGTACATGACTTAAAATCGATTTTAACTCCCCATTCCCCCAGTACTTCAGCTTCCAGAAGCTTAAAA